AACCATAACTTTCCAAGCTTTAAAATTCCCTCATTTTTATGAATTAAATGAAGGGGAAATGGTTGTGGTCTGATCCATTGAATTGGTGAAAAAATAAATTAATATTAAAAAAAGAAATCAATTTTCAAGAATGATCACTTTTTGGTATATAATATAATATAATATCCAAAGTGCAAATTGAAGGTAGAATTATGGCCCAATATAGTAGGGTTGGAAAATTGAAATGCAAAGGGTAAAAAGTGGACAACTTGATCAACTTGTGTCCTAGGGACTAGGGAGTTGGATTACCATTTGTTATCATTATCATATGCTATGTTGCATATTATATATATATATATATATATATATATATATAGAGAGAGAGAGAGAGAGAAAGAGATGTTATTCTATATCATTTGTCATTCCTACATCCTATACAACCTCCATCTTAACCATTCAATTTTTAATCAATTAATTGTTTCCTAATATAAAGTATTAATCATAATTAATAAACTCTATTCATATTCCATAAATATTCAAATCATAATAAATGAAYTCCAATCATTTCTATAAATATTTCAATTAATTGGGTTGCAAAGGTTGTACAAATGCACAAGGTTGTAAAAGAAATATACCATATATATATTACCTTATAACTTAAAATTTATCAAAAATTTTAAAAATAATTTTTAATGTATAAAGTACTATATATTTATGTATAAAGTCTTAAAAACAATTCATAATGTATTAAGTACTACTACTATATGCATTCAGTCTTAAAATCTCCTAATCTATAATTAAAATAACATATAATACAAGTTATCAATGCACATTATTACATTTTTTTTCATATTTCCAAGATACTTTTGACACTCTTCACTCATGTCTTCATCCTCTCATACCTCTATGTCTTCTCCCCATCCCCAAGGTGAGATTCAAACTAATATTCACCATGAGTTATTAAAAGTTCTCTCATTCATCTCTCATTCAATTGTTCTAGAACTCTCGGTCTCGCTCTCGATCACTTGATTCTTTACTCTTGGTGTAAATCGAACACATTTGTGGAGTCGTTTAAATATATTGGATTTTAAACCGTCATACAACTTTTTTCATCGATAGACTGTAATTGGAACCATAACTCTTATGTATTCAAATTGTATTTATATGTAAAGACCAAGTGTAACTTATATCATCGTTAAATCTTCTCCAATAAAACGAGTGAAACTTCAAAATCGTTAAAATCCACGGCTCCCGCCGCATTGCACGGGTACACAACTAGTATAGTATAATAAATTAGTAGGGTTATGACACACTGTCTAAGACTCAGAATGATGTAGTAAAAAATAAAAGTTTTTAAAGTACGTTACCTAAAATAAAAATATAATTAAAATACTTTACTTTTTCATGTAATTTATCTTATAATATTTTTACAATAGGGTTGTTAAAATTTAACCCAAGTAAAAAGTAATATTATAATGGGAGGGAATGATGGATTTAAGCATGGTGATGTAGTGAAGTAGGGTGAGGATGTAAGTTGGTTTGGGTGGGACCAGAAGCAGCAAATTGGAGAATGCACATGTAAGAGGGGTATCTTTTACCAACACATTTCTAGTTGATGAAATAGGAGGGGAGTATTTTAATAAAAAAAAAAATTGTCAAAAAGTCATAACAATTACCAACAGAAAATCACATGAAAATGCAATGCTTTAATATCACACAATTCCATGTTGTTTTCCTCCTACTTACAATTTTTATATGCTTTGCTTCCACAAATATCTCCCCCTGCTTTCCTTCCTTCATTCCATGGTTTTGGTTTTGGTTTTGGTATTGGTATTGCACCTTGTTTCCATAATCATATTTTATATATATATATATAGAGAGAGAGAGAGGTGTTCAAATAAGAAAGATAAACATCTGAGAATGTAAAAGTAAATTAATTACGTGTAAATTATTGGTAATTTACATTCTTATATTTATACATAAAAAAAAAAAGTGAAAGTTGGTTCACGTACGCATTTATTTGGGTTTATAAATCATATTTGGCTATATGATTAGTTTCAGTTAAGGTTGTGTTTGACAAATTAATTAATAAGTTAGCTGTTAGTTAAAAAACAACTTGTTAGTTAATACGGATTGATAAAATAGCCATATTAAGTAATAACAATTAAAAGAACTATTTGATAAAGTGGATAAAAATATAAAATGACTTAAAAGAAAGTGCTCAAAAAATTAACTGGAAAATGGTATAAAAAAAACTCAAGCGGTTTCTTGAGACGTTATTTCATGTAACGTTTCAAAAACTAGATTATGTCTAAACAAACAAGTTTTTCCACGAAACTAAAAAAGGGTAAATTACATGAAAAGTAACGTACTTTAACTTTATTCCTATTTTGGGTAACGTATTTTCAAAACTTTCATTTTAGTAACTAAGATGTAAGGTTTTAAACATTTAAGTACTCGGGTAACAAGTTGAAACATTAACCGGTTACCATGCTGATGTGATATCCAACTCAGTATTATTTGATGACATGGATATTTTAATCTAACCGATTAATGCTTCAACATGTTTAACCGGTTAATGCTTCAACCAGTTACTCGGGTACTTAAATGTTTAAAATTTCACATCTTGGGTACTAAAATAGAATTTTTGAAAGTACGTTATTTTTTCATACAATTGCCCAACTAAAAAATAAGGTAGTTTATTTAACAAACATGGCCTAAAAGTTCATGGAAGTAGGTCTATTTACGATTGACACTTAATCAACAAGTATCACATAACCTTCATAAATTTAACGGTCGTTATACAAGCATATCATTTGTCAATAACTTATTTTACACGTGCATTAATCTAAAAATTGTGTAGGTTTGACCACCGCCATTTACTTAAGTATAGATTTGTAGTCATGGTGACGAAAAGGCAAAAAAGAATGATGAAGATATAATGGGAAGATGTATATCCGATGACTGTGTAAGATATGAAAAGCCGTCGTCGGTCGATAGTAAATCAAGTTGTGTGATATTGACCGATTGAATTTTTGTTTGTTCATAGGATCAACTTGTCAATTGCTTGTTTAGATACGTTGAACAAGGATTATATGCATGTCGTTTTCATTAATTAATCAACTAACTAATTAATAATCAATTAATGCACTAAATTATCCTCTATTAATTACTTTCCACTTTTCGTCTTCAACGTCTTATACTGTGTGATCACTGGGTTCATAAATACTAGTTGATGGGAAAATTTTAGGTCTAATTAAAAAAACTCATTAAAAAATATTTTTTAATAACTTAAATCACTACATTTTTTATGAAAATTATTTAAGTTTATATATTATTTGCCAAATATTTAAAGTCTATTTGGTTTACAATATTTAGTAGTAAAGGTATTCAAAAACCTGATCAATTCAATCCAACGCGAAATAATTTAACTCAAAACAACTCGATTGTAATCGAGTTGTAAAATTTTCAAACTTTAGGTATTTGGTTACTATTATTTGAACTCAACCCAACCCGATGAACATGATATCCTTTTATTTATTGGATTTAATATGATTGTTGAATTTCTATTAATAATTTAATATATACATTAGACAATTACATTATCATGTACGCTCTTCATATACACATATTTTCAATCTATTCGCATCTTTATATAACTCATTCTTATATATGTTCAGTAATTGTGAACATACATATGTAAATTGAGAAAATTAATTGAATGTGGTATATATAAGAAGTATGAATAAGTTGTATTAAATGGTTGATGATAAAATAAAATTATGAGTAGATAAATAGCATATTCAAAGTTAGAACAATATTTTTATGTACTAAAGTATCAACCCGACTAACCCTATTGTTTGGGTTAGGTTGGGTTGTACTTTGGCTTGAGTTGAATTGAGTTAAGATTTTCAAACTGCAAGTATTGGGTTGGATTGTTGAAATGTATTCAATTTGATCAACCCAACCCATGAGCACTCCTATTTAGTAGGATTTTGAATTGAATTACAATTCAGTCCCAACTTTCGTTTTAATTTAAAGTAAAGTTTGGAATTGAAATTTCGGAATTTCAAAGAAATCCCACAAAATTAAATTACAAAAATCTCATTAAGTGTAGTTGATATTTCATGAGATTTTATAATATTTGTTTATAAATCCCATAATATTTAATAGGATTTCAGAAAATTGAATTTACAGCCATATATAAAAAAACGGAATTAACCTTACAAACCAAACATATAAAAAAAATTCCAAACCATACAACTCTAAATTTTTTCATATGACTACAAAACATTTTGACATAACCATGAGGATGGTGTTCGATCGGTTTGAGTTTAGCCTCCAAAAGTCAAAAGTGTCTTGAGGTCTCAGGTTCGAATCCAATGAGAAATAAAAATCCTTTTGTAGCGAAAGAGATTCAAATACGATGACTCCAGACCACCCGCAAAACAGGTGCTCAATCTGAGATTAGTCGGCTCACATAACGGGTTGGATATCCATGTTAATAAAAAAACATTTTGACATAACTTTGTAATGTTTTAAAATATGTTAATAAAATTTAGTTTATAATAATTAATTAATAAAAAAGTAGTTTAATAAAATCAAAAATTGAGGAAAAAATCCATTAAAATAGTATATTTATTTTTTGAGTTGGTAAAAGAAGCGATTCATGGTTCAGAAAGGGCGGCAAGCCCAGAGGTTAGTTTAGTAATTAAACTGAAAAGATCTCTACAGCAAGTAGGCTTGACAACACTTGATCATGTAAAGTACCAATTTTGCCCCCAACCCTGTCAACCACATTTCAAATTGGACTTCGCGATTTCAGCAGCCAAATTTCCCAAATAAATATCCTTAATAATCACGTGCTCGACTGCTCCCAATATATTTATTTATTTATTTTTCAATTTATTTTTCTACATAATTCCAATTCCAACTTGCATTCCAATCTCCACACGCTTATATATAAAAACACCACATCTCCACCAACAATCCTCAACTTCACATCCCCTGTTCTTGAGAGAGAAACTGAACCAGAAATCAGAAAGACATCAAAATCAAAAAGATTCTGTTAAAGCTCAATTATATGCCCATGGAGTGGGTAAGAGGTAAAACAATCGGCCATGGAAGCTTTGCTGCTGTGAGTTTAGCAAAACCCACAAACCAGAATTCAGGTTTTCCGCCATTAATGGCGGTGAAATCTTGTGGTGTATCTCACTCTGCTTCCTTGATGAACGAGCGTCTGATCTTGGAAGAACTTAAAGATTGCCCCGAGATCATCGGATGTTACGGCGATTCGCTGACGATAGAAAACGGTAAAAGATTGTATAATGTGGCGTTGGAGTATGCTTCCGGTGGAGCTTTAGCCGACAAAGTGAAGAATTCCGGTAGTTTCCGGTTGTCGGAATCCGAAGTCCAACGGTACACGAATTCCATCTTAAGAGGACTTCATTTTATTCACCGGAATGGCTTTGTCCACTGCGACATCAAGCTTCAAAACGTTTTGTTGGTTTCGGACGGAGTCAAAGACGCCGTCAAAATCGCCGATTTCGGGCTGGCGAAGAAGGCCGCCGGAGATTTGAATTCGAAATACGAAATCAGAGGTACACCGATGTATATGGCACCGGAGACAGTTGTCGGCGGTGAGCAAGAATCGGCGTCGGATATTTGGGCACTTGGGTGTTTGGTCACCGAAATGATCACCGGAAACCCAGTTTGGAATTGCTCCGACTTTGGCGCACTTTTGATGAAAATCGGAATTGGCGCCGAAATCCCAGAGATTCCCGCGAAATTATCAGACGATGGAAAAGATTTTCTTGGAAAATGTTTCTTGAAAGACCCCAAAAAGAGATGGACGGCTGAGATGCTCCTAAATCACCCCTTCATCAACACTGTTACATATAAAGAAGAAGCAGAGAATCAAATCTCCCCCAGAGATCCATTTGATTTTCCTGATTGGGAATCACAACAATCATCGGAATCCTCGACGGAATTCGATTGTTGGATCGGAGATGGATCGGAATTCCTATCTGGGTCACCGTCAATTCCGCCGGCGACGAGATTAGGGCAGCTGCTGACAGATCTGAAACCCAATTGGTCCGTTTCAAGCAGTTGGGTAAAAGTTAGATGATGCCAGCAGAAGCAGATTCAAAGAATGGAAACTTTTTTTCTTTTTACAATTTTGACACCGATTTTTTCATTAATTATAGTTTGAGCAGTAATTGGTGAATATTTTTGCCACCAAGTTGTAAATACCGATAGATATAGAATCTGTATGTATACATGACTTTGTTACTTGTTAGTATATATTCTTCGGTTCATTGCCAATTCCAATTCCCCATTTCATAGAAACCATGGTTTTTTCAGTCGAACTCACGGTTAGATGACCAAAAGCTCAATAAATCGTGCTCGTCTGGTTCTGTTTCGAACTGAAACAAAAACCAGTCTCCAAAAGGATACAACATTTTCAGTGTAATTCCCATTTGGGTTTTCGGTTTTATTGCTCTTGGCTTGTTTTTGTCTTTCTGAAAACGAGAATTCCATAACTTATTTGTGGATATAATTTTTATAATTTATAGAAAATACGTGCCTAGAAAAATTAAAGTTATCTCCTGTGAAAACCAAAACATATGGACCAACGAGAACCAAAATGAATATAACCATTTTCGATCTGATATTTATCCAGGTTTTTTCCTTTCCATATAAAAAATCATGCCAGAATACAGGAGAATCGTAGTCTTTTTGTTGACATAACTTTGATAACTTCAAAAGTATCTGATAATCGGAATCAAATTAACGACGGTGTGAAAACCCAATCATTTGGACTAACGATTCTCGAATTTTAGTAATTAAAAAAACATTTATTTTATTTTTATGTTGATTAAAAAGATGGAGACGTAACTTGCAAGTATCATGTTAGGGTTTTTAAAGCAAAGCAAATATCTTTTTTGCTACAAATTGCTGTCTTTTGCAGGCTTGAATCCTATCACTCTCTAAATATACTTTTCTTTTCTTTTATATTTTTATATTTTTATTTTTTTTATAAATAATTCATAATATTCAGAGCACCTTGCTTTACCATCTCATTGGTTGTTTTGTGATACACACAACTAACAATTCTGATTTTTTTCACACAAAATTATATAATAAATAAATTTAATTATTTAAAATATCTCTAATATGTTAATTTAAAAATACAAATTACATGAAAAAGTAACGTATTTTAACTTGATTTTCTATTTTTGATAACATACTTTTAAAACTTCTATTTTGATACCTATGATGTAAGTTTTAAACATTTAAGTATGCGAGTAACTGGTTGAAGCATCAACCGGTTACCATGCTAATGTGACGAGCGATGTGGTATCCAATTCAGTATTATTTGCTGACATGAATATCTTAATCTAACCGGTTAATGTTTCAATTGGTTACTCGAGTACTTAAATGTTTAAAATTTTACATCTTAGGTACCAAAATGAAAGTTTTGAAAGTACGTTACCTAAAATAAAAATCAAGTTAAAGTACGTTGTTTTTTCATGCAATTTGCCCATTTTAAAACTTTTAAAGCTTTAGAAAAGTTTGTTCCAACAACTATGTTAAAATCTTCTCTAAAATATATTTAAAAAAAGAAAAAAAAAAGATAAAAACATATCATACCTGTTGAAGATGTTTTTAACATCAATAATTTACTGAAAAGCTGGTTTTAGTTTTTCAACGAGTATATGTAAACATGCTTTTGAAAATATTAATATATTGACGTTAAAAGTTTATATTATATTTATTTTTCAAAAGATCGACAAAATTGATAAATAATAAGTCTATTTTTAGGGGGTTTATATATAGGTTGGCGATAATTTCAGATATTAACTTATATCGTTCATTTCATAAATGCAAACCCTTTTGACTATTTTTGGTGTTCATCAACCGTATAATTAGTCCTCCCAATTTGGTAAAAGACTGTTGACGGTTTTCATATTATTCTGCTTACGTATGAGGAGATCGGGTATTTTTATCATTGTATTTGTTATAAAAGTAATTATACAAGTAATAGAAGCTTACAGATTACGTTCACAAAAAGACCAACAAGGTGGATGGTTTTAATGTTCGTGATATAAAAAAAGCAAAAGTAGACTTCGAAAAGAGGACGAGAAAACTCAAGCAATATATTACGAAAATGAAAACGATATATACAAAAGCACCACAAGCCAGCAAACGGAGGGGACAAACCCACTACGAGAGGGAAAATGAAAGCTCAAACCAACAAACGAGTTAGGAACAACCTTTGTACAAGTGATAAGCAACCAAAAAAAAGTGAGGTTACGTCTGTAAATATAAATAAGAAATAAAAACAAAGTCGGTCAAACCCACCCAAGAACCTAATATGATACACAATTGGAGAACCAGTTGTAGCACCAGATGTCGTAACAGATATTTGGAACAAAAGGAGGTCTGACACTATCCTTCCCAATTCTCAAGGTCAGTAGAGAGAAGAAACCTTGTAATGTATGACATATATTTTTCAAGAAATACTGCTTTGCTACAACATCTGCGTTGCCTCAAAACTGAGATCCAATTTCATATTTGGAAGACGGTTTGAGCATCGACAAGTATATGTATTATTGTTACATTTTCCTTTTGGACTTTCGGGATAGATGTGCGAACATCATCGGTCATCCCTGACCCTAAGTGGTTGTTTGATGAAAACAAAGTATTATACATAGAACAATCAAGAGTCTCTAACATGATTGATTAGTCAGATGTGTGATGAAAAACAACTGTTTTAAATGAACAGTCAGAATAACTAAAATTACAGCTCAAGAATGGAAAACCAACAAATCAAAACTTGTCAGAGGCTCTAAACGAGAACCTATTCAAAGACTATCGAACAGTCACGAAATCGAAAAACCGACAACAAGTAACACCAAAAAAACCATTTCTTGTTCGGCCCAATATACAGGTTATGGGCCAGTAATCATACGGGTAAAAGTGGCCCGATAAGTACAAGTGAACAAAAAACATATTATATGAATTAAAAAACAAACACTTACCGGTAAAATTTAACACTATCACTTACTTATCGGGTAAGACTTTAGTCCACCAAAACGGCATTGTATGCAACAATTTACCCAGTGAGCGCTTACCATGGTAAGAGTCGTCGCCCTCACTTACCGGGTAAGACTCTCGGTCTTTGTCTCCCTCTTACCGGATAAGATTCTTGGTTCTTACCATATTCATCCTATAAGGTAATGTGACTTGGTAAGGCTTACCCGGATAATCGTTTGGTAAACGACCCCTAAAATTTGTTTTCATGTTTGTAACATTTTTATTTGGATCGTTCTGTATGTGTACATAAGCCGTGACAACGACCGAAAATGTTACAACCTTGTGAGAATCAATCTCGATGTATTTTTTCAAATGATTTTTATTATTTAAAACTAATATTTATTACTTTTACATTTATTTGTTTTATACTGTGAGACTTTTTTATGGGTATTTTTTGTTGTATAATGTAAACCAAAAATATTACATGTGCTTTTTCAACAATTTAAACACAAACTTATGTGAAAAAATATATTAAATCATAACATATAAAATATCATGTAAAAAGTAATTGAGACCAACTTTTACAAATTTATATATAATATTTTTATGGTTCTCATTCAATTATTGTCTGGTATACAAATGTGTATATACACATAATTTTTGCCTTCTCGTATCTAAAGTATTTATAAAAACAAACAATTAAAAATAAGGGGGTGTTTCAGTTTGTCATTTTTATTTAAAGTGTTTATTAACTTATTCCAGTGTGATATTAGTAATAAAGAGTTTTTATATGTATGGATGGAAAAAAAGAAATATTTACACCGGTTTGACACTGACTTTTGATAAGTTACTCATTTCTAACTTATTAATTTATTACGGTATAGTATTGATAATAAGAAGTTTTTAGTGTTTGGATGAGGAAAAAAAACTATTTACCAGCTTATTACGTTTTGTTACCACCATAAGCTAATACAAACATTTTTTTATAGAACTCCAATTTAACACCACATGAGTTGATAAACGCTTTTGAAAAAAAACATAAATTTATATTATATTATAAAACATTTGACATAAACTTTTAAAAATAAGTTTTTATATATAAAGTATTGTTTATTGATGCATATTACTTAAAAATTTAAGATTACAAGTAAATTGTACGTAAGTACAACTTATTAAAACTTTATTTTTGAATTTATGTAACTAACTATAGATAAACATAATCAAATACGGGATAGACATCTTATTTTGAGTATACAAAAAATCTAAAAATCTAATTTATAAATAAAAATATTGAATTAAAGAAATTACAGAGTCTTTTCGAAAACTTTAAATAGTAAATTTTATACTAATATCGATATATATATATTTTCTTTCAAATTTGTATGATATCTTTAAATTTATATTTTATTCAAAAATAAAAACGTATTTGCTTTCTCAAAATCACTAAAATCATATTATATCGATAAATAAAACGAAACATTAAAATTGAGATTTATCTCGCTATATTATGCTAGCACTCTTCTAATTATTTTAAATAAGCAATCTCAAACACCTCTAAGGGATTGTTTGCTACCTATTAATAGTTCCATTAAAAAACAATCTCTGAAATCATTAAGAGGTGAATTTCGTTTGACAGAAAAAGAAGTCTACCTCTTAATGGTTCTAAAATCATTTGAACGATTTTGTATCATGGGTCTTTCTTAACCATTAAGCATCCTAATTTCATTTTGCACTATATCATAAGAATCTCTTAATCATTATAATCATTTAATTATTTTACACAAAATCATTCAATAACTGTCGAACAGCTCATAAATTCTTAAAATACAATTACTTAAAATTATAACGACCGTTAAACGTCATTGACGTTCAATGTAATAATAAATCAACGGTCCATCCCACCGTCAATGAATCATGAATTCATCCATAAAATAATGCCAGAATCATAATGTAGATAGTGGTACATTATTTTTCATTTAAAAAATCAGAAAATTAAAATATTAATTAATAAATATTAAAATATTACAATTACAGATCAGTTCATCTTTCCACATTTCCAATCAACACCCCCAGTCCCCACCGACACAGGTCATCGGCTCCACCGCGGTCAACGGTCACCCGTAATATTCCGATTCACCGGAACCCATTTACCTCATTCTTCAAATTTCCGACCTTTAAAGAATTAATACAAAAAAAGAAGATATAATTTACCAGCAAAGAGTATTGAAAAGCTTGTGCTTTAAAGACTTGTACAATTTCCGCCATTTTTGAGTTACTCAACGGTGCAAGAGTTCTTGAGAGACATTGGTGCATTGATCTTGGTGGGTTTGTAAACAATGGCACAAGAAACCTTTCTATGGAACTTGGGTTTCACCAATTTTCCGAGCACATAAGCCTTGGCTTTGACCGTGAAGTTGAGGTTCAGTGGCACCGGTGCCGTCAGCTTGCCGTTCTCGCTGCTCCAGTTCACGCCGCCGCCGTATAACGGCACACCACGGCCCTGTAAATTTACACTCACGATTCTGTGCCCTTTTCGTTTTTGGTAGAATTTCTTGATCTGCAAAATACACCCATTTAAGTTTTAGATCGAATTGGTGTTACCCATTTGAGTTTTAGATCAAATTAGTGATACCCATTTGAGTTTTAAGATCAAATTGGTGATACCCATTTGAGTTTT